CATCGTCATCGCCATCGCCCTCGGCCGCAAGGTCTCGACCGTCACCTACAGCGTCAGCAGGCTCTCGAGGCTCCTGTCCCCGATCCCCGCCGTGGCCCTCACCCGCGACCGCGAGGCCGACGCCGCCATGATCAGGGCACTCCTGCAGAAGGGCGATTTGGTCGTCTGCCCCGAGGGGACCACGTGCCGCGAGCCCTACCTCCTGAGGTTCAGCGCGCTGTTCGCGGAGCTCAGCGACAGGATTGTGCCTGTAGCTGTTAACATCGAGCAGGGGATGTTCCACGGGACGACCGTGCGAGGGGTGAAGTTCTGGGACGCGTATTTCTACTTCATGAACCCGAGGCCGACGTACGAGGTGACTTTCTTGGAGAGGCTGCCGGAGGAGATGACGTGCGGGGCAGGGAAGACGGCGATCGAGGTGGCGAACCACGTGCAGAAGGTGCTGGCGGGGGCGCTAGGGTTCGAGTGCACCCAGCTGACGAGGAAGGATAAGTACATGCTGCTTGGGGGGAATGACGGGAAGGTGGAGTCCATGTATGGCAAAAAGTAGAGCTTGGAGTAGCGCATTGGATTGTATCGTATGAAGTTGGTCCATTTCTCCCCCCTGTGAAAAAAACATTGGTTGGTCTGCGAGGGTGTTTTGGGTATATTTTTCTGATATTATTTGTCTCTACTGGTAGTGGGGCCCAAGTATTATGTGCATGACTTTGATGCAAAACTGATTGCATATTATTAGTATTATTTGAAGTGTGGATTTGGAATTATATTTGGTATTGTATTAGAAAACTTCTATATAAAACAGATATTTGAGTAACGGAATTTTAATATGATAAATGCTGATTGATGAACTTTTAAATTGTGCCTATGTGCATTATTTGGAGAACTGTAGAATTTTTTTATCAAATTATTATTCATATTTCATACATTTGAAAAATCATATCCATTCAATAGAACTTTATTATGAAAAACCAAACCTAGATAGTTAATAATTTAACTATATATACAAATTCTTCTATCTTCTGATTATGGAAAAAATTAAATATTATATATTTTGTAAAATAAATCATTAAAAAATAATATTATATTTATTTAACTATATAGAAAAAACTTGAAGGTGAACTTGAAGGTGAATCTGTTTCGTAGTAATATGTTAAAACGTGAAGGTGAATCTCTTTCGTAGTAATATGTTTGGGGTCGACGACGCGAAGTTCTGTGCGAGATGTGCGATTATTTCTGATTTATTTGGAGTTATCCGAGCTATTATTTCTGCTTTGAAGTTGACTATAGTCATCTGCGAGCTTTTATGATTAGCGATTTCCAGTCAGTTAGATAATTACTAGTGTGTAGCCCGTGCTATGCACGGTAAATTATATTAATAATCCCAACCTTCAGCGAGTAGGTTCCCGCCTTCGGTTTTGGGAGTTTGGTTAGAGCATGATATTATTGGAGTTTCGTATCCCCATCGAGTCCTAATATAGGGTTATGGCCTCTTTCATTGTACCAATAATAATAATAATAATACTAATAATAATTATAAACTAAATATTAGGATAAACAATATTAACTATAATTATAAATTAAAGATGTGGGGTTACATGTGATAAAATTTACTTTATATAGTCTATTGTAACAATATAAAATTATTTTATATAAAGAACATAAAAAAAATTATGTCTAATATATTAAAATTGAGAGAAGATTTACATATTATATATAAAATAAATATTGAGATGATACCGAAAATTATTTCGTCATCAATTTGAGTATAAAATAAACGGAGGCTTAATAACTCCATGCTGTATGCATATGCTTCATTTATCAATTTTATATAATAATTTTAAAATCTCATTATCAAAATTTGTATTCAAATATATAAAATAAACGGAGACTTAACAATTCTACTTTTATGTCATTGTTAAACTTGCCATGAAGGACTGGCAGGAATTTGCAAGTAGGAACAACAGTTAGGTTCAGCAGGAGGGAAGTGGGCCTAGGTTCTTTGATGTCCAGTGGATGTTTCTTTATTGCTCCTTTCTTAGTTTGGTTCTGCTTTTTCTTATTGATAGTGGTTAGGTTTGTTCCGTTATTGTTCAGTTATTGTTGTAGTTGATTGTTTTGTCTGGTTACCGAGCTAAAATGAGATGCTAAGGGATACAGACTTATCCTGGCCTTAGCATGCTTCTGTAAGCTTGTATGTGTTGTGTTGGTGTAGTTTTTGTATTCTAGAACACCTGTAGGATGGTGCTTCTCTTGTATTAGAACCAGTTGGTTCTCGGCTTGTATTTGGTACATTTGATGATATATCATATTCTATCGTTTCAGAAAAAAAAAGACAATTAATATTGATATTATAAATTTTGTAATACGGTTTTGTCGACCCTATTTAATATNATCAACAAAGTACACATCTTTGAAATTTATGATGAAATACGATTAAATAATTTATTTATAAAAGAAATCCGTATTTATTTGTTTTTGAAAATCAATGCAAACTCACAGAGAGTTTTTGTTCTTAACAAACTCCTACAATTCTAATTAAATCATATTAATTTAATTTGAATTTCATGATGGTTTTAAAATCTGTACACATGGTTATAATCTATATCAAGTAAACAATCCCCATAATTTTAGAAATCAATATTTATCTGTTTTTGAAAATCAATGCAAATTGCTTGATAGTTTTTTTTCTAAGAAACTCCTACAGTGCTAATTAAATTATATTATTCAATTCAATTTGTGTACGAATTTAAAGTTTCAATTTTAAAATGAATTTAAAAGTCTGTACACGTGTTGATAGTCTTTCAAGTAAACATAGTCCCAATTTTTTTTTTCTTTTTTCCGTTATTAAGTTTTTTATTCCAACAAATGATGTGGTGAAGATTTATAAGTGAGTACCTATGATATATGGATTAATATCCAATGTTGTAGCATACACTTTTTTTAATTGCATAAATATAATTGTGTTTTTTTTTTCTTTGCATGGACGGTATAATTAGTGCAAGTTAATTAAATAAAATTAATTTTTTAATAAAATTCATTTAAGTTTTTTTTTTTTTACTAAAATGAATGATGCAAACTCGTACCATTTTAAATTCTCCACAATTTGAATTACTTTTTAACTTTTGAATACTGCTAATTTTCATATCTATCATTATTTATGCGGACAATTTTGTAGGAAAGTTATTAAAAAATTGTTAACATTTGAATTTGAATTAAAGATTTGCATGAAAATTATTAGGAAATTGTTAACAATTGAATTTGAAATAAAGATTTTTTTTTTTCTATTTCCTATAAGTTTGTTAAAGTAATCATATTTTATTTAAACTTCTATCTTTTCCTTATTTAGAAATTTTGAAATTTATTTTGTTTGCTATATTTAGTAAATAGTAATTCTTTTTATATAAGTATAGATTTGAGCATTATGCGACCTGCTTATCAGTAGCTTTTTAGTTTAATAACCAACGGGGAAATGGTGGGTTATAGCCCTACCTAAAACGCAATAATGTATATTTTAATTATTTTTTATTTTAATTTAACCCAACTAAAATTGAAAGATTTCACTTATCCCAGCACTACAATTTTTAATATCAAATAAGAAGATTTTTAATATCAAATAAGAAGATTTGACTTTTACAGTAACACATTTTTTAATTTGGTTTTCATCCGACAATATGAAAGTATATAATCACTTTTACCAGACAATATGAATATTTAGGAGACAAAAAAAGTTTTTTTGGTCCTTTAAATGACCCATTTTTGCTTTTGGTTCTAGTAAAAGAACGTTTTTGGAAATTATCCTGTAAGTGAAAAATACTTAGATATTGATCTTCTGACTGCATATTGCAGGTCAGAGTGATCGGGTACGCCTACATGGAAATTTCACCTGAATATTCTTTTTTTTTTGCTGGATTGTAAAGCTACGTGGCCGCTTAATTTTAGGTCAATGAGTTGCAGAATACTCTAGTTGAGTCAAAATCAATGTATTCATCGATTTTGCTTCTTTATTTTTTATCTCCTTTTCCTCTTTTCAGCCTATATTCCGGTATTCACATATCTTTGCTTAATTCTTCAACGTAATATCCCAACCTTTTGGGATGAACTATCATTTTGACCAAGTATAAGCTTTCAGAATATATCAAATCACGAAAAGCAAAACTGATCACAAACAGGGCAAGTATCACTTCTTTCCTGTCGCTCGAGTATGCACGAAAGGTGAAAAAGATGGTTACACTTAGTCATGATCTTAGAGCATCTCCAATGGAGATTGTGATGTATGGCATGGAGAAATGGAATTAAATTTTTTTGTCTCCAATGGTTAGTGTTAATTGTAATATCATTTGTGATGTGTAAAGTTGTAATTGGTTGAAGAAGAGAGATAAATTGAATAAATAATATAATATATAATAGAAGTTGTTTAGAAGGACTTCTACATCTAGAAAGCCTTCTAGACATTTTTCAAGCCACGTCAGATTTTTTATGCCATGTAGCAACAATGGAAAGACCATTGGAGATGCTCTTAGGGTTCTCCACATTGTACTCTGATATCACGAAGAAAAAATTATTAACTCATTATCAACATACATAAAAGACAAAAAACGGCATATACCTTCAAGGCAAGTGGGGCAAACATTTTCCTCATCTTCTTCCAACGTTTTCATACACAGGTTCGCAAGACCCGAAACTACTAGGGCTGTAGAGGGATCAGGGCTTCTCATTCATCTTTTCATTTTCGCGAAGGTCTTGCCAAAGCAATACATTTAACTTTGCAAATTCGATCCTCACCTTCCCAGGGGAGTTCGGGAGAAAGGCAAATTGAGTATTGTGATTTGCTTTTTTAAGATGCGGCTTCCAGAGGTCCATGGATTGTGGGCCCACAAGAACCACGTCGTAAGGCATGGGTGAGGGTGGGTGCCAGAAATTGTCGGGAATCGACATGTTTGTATTAAAATCGAATGGTAGTCTAGAGTTAAGTAGAGTAGTGGCAACTTACCATCTCGAGATCTTATGGACTCGTACTCTTCTAAACCCGGTAGTTAAATTGTATTCAAGTGGAAAGCTTTAAAGTTAAGTTTAAAAAGTACATAACGCAAATGTATTGAGCTAGATTAGATAATTTCATAAATTCATTGTAGTTCATATCGTACTCTCCAATATGAGCTATTCTTTTCAAGCGGCTGAGGTGGATCTAAAATCCATTTTAAACCGAGTCACTGTATTTCCCAAATCCTCCTATCACATAATTTATCACTTCAATTGGGGAAAAATGCGTCATCCCCTTGATTCGATCGCATGGCAGCCTTCGTCGACACAGTCCAGTTAGAAAGCTACTTTTCTACCCGTAGTGCACATTGGGCCTGTCACTTTGGAAATTTCGTGTTGAAATTACACGGAATCCTGCGAACTGAAATATATTAGAAAATTACAATATAATCAAAAATAAATTACAACTGAAAAACGGAAAGATTTTAGTTGAGGCGAGTAAACTCTTTTACGCAAGACAAATACGCCTAGTGTAGTGCTAACGGTTCAGGCGTAACGTCCCCAAAGATACAACGGCGATCGTCTCTAAATCTGTAGCACACTAGATTTATGAGCTCCGGCAAACTGGAATGAAGTCGAGAATTGAGCACTTAAAAATATGAATAAAATTATATTATCTCTCTGATAATTTTTCTCTATTTTTATCACTAATATTTTTATCCATCAACTATTCTCTTGGACTGATTATCCTTTTCTTTTTTCCTATCTCTCTCTTTTCCTCCTTTTCTTCCGTGTCTTTCTTTTTGTGTCTTCCCATATATATAGATGGGATTAGTTGCAAGTTGGTGTTGTTGGATGAAAATGGTTGGGGTGTAGTTGGAAAATTTGGATTTTGGTTGGAATATAGATGAAATTGGTTGATCAAATCAATTTACACTTAATTTTAGTAACAAAGAAACAAAAGTCTTTGAAGGGGAATTTGTAACGAACATTTTCTAACGACTCCATCTAATAAGGGTTTCAAATCAACTGCATGCGAGAGCAGGCTCACTACAATATATGTTGGTGTTATGGTTTTTGAAATCCTCAACACAATCGATCATGTTTCAAATATATCCACATAATTTGATGTGGTCAAAGAATGAATAATTATCACACACTATAATTAACTATTTCTGAGAAAAAACATGATCGAGTGCCCCACAGCCGAAATTCATATAGGATTTGAATGAGGAATTACGGAAAGAAAAATTTAATAAGATGCAAAATTGTTGCTTCAATCAATTTCTTGTTAAGACCTTCTCAAAAACACCGCGATATAATTTAATTAATGTGTTGACGACATTTTTACACATCTTTTCATCAGCTTATGACACATTGACACTTACATTCAACAATGGCCTCGCCTGGACATACCACAAAATCTTCTGTTGGTATAAACCCCTAACTTCATCTATGTATATATATAATATATTTGACGGTTTTCCAACTTAAAGTTTCATGAATTCAATTGAATCT